TTTGATAATATTAACATATATTTTCTCAGTCTCTTCCCTTTCCTTCGATGATAAACTCAACAATGAAGTTGATATAACAATGGGAACCTACCAAAAAAGTCATCCAAACAAAGAAGTTGCTGAACAATGGAGGCAGTGGATTATCGAATTCATTGACGTAGGTTGGCTAAAGATGAATGACATATTCTACTCATTATTCAAGAATCAAAATGTTTTGTGAGCAATTTCCCGCTCTTGATATAATCTCCTGTTATGATATTGTTGATGCAAGTCATATAAGGATCGGTACCATACATTTGTCCGGACGATTACCACAATGTAGGGTAGTCCATCATGTGATCCATGTCCAATAGGGAGTGCAAATTTTTTGATCAACCCGGCAACACAAATCCGACACAAGATATATTACTCGCCTTGGAATACTAATTAAAACTGTCGGGACGGTAATTTTACATATAATCTTGTCCGTTACCCTTACACAGACCTTATAAATCGTAAAAATCATTAATAGTAAACTCTGAAAATTTAAGGGGATTTATCACATGATGGACTGCGCTTTAACCGTTCTCCAATTGTGGAAATGGGAAAGTCGCCCTTATGTCCGCATCATTTCGATCAACCAAAAATTTGATACTTGTGTCATTTTTGAGTTTAAGCTTGCTTAATCGGAGCGGCATGATGAAATGAGAAATAGTGTTAAGAATGGGCTAAATCAAATTGCTGACAAGAATTATCATTCAGATACTGCAAGGCATATCATATTTGAGGTTGCCATTGCCTTCTGTAAAAAAATTACCTTCGTCTCTGCTCAACTTTTACAACGTAGTAAAAGTGGAAAAAAAGGTAAACTTACGATACATGCCTAGAAATTGTTTCATCAATTGAATCGGTTTAGGAGGAACTTTATCAACCATTACATATTGTGTTACTAATATTTTTGAAACAGTTATTGCGCCACATGCCACTGCAAACTCTTGTTGCTAACATAACATTTATAAAGAATAAAGATATTACGATTAGCTTAACAAAATAGCCAGCAAGCTATGCAACGTAGCCATAACGGCTCAAAAATCATTTTCTTATAAAATGATTAGAAAGTTTGTTTTGTGTAATCTTCCCGATTTTTATGTGAGGATATATGCGCGAGAATTTTGTTAATTCCGAATGTGGATATTGTTTGAGCCACGTTATTTTTTTATAACTGTAAACTCGACGCTAGCAAAAAATTCCTAATACCTAGAGACATTTAAAAATATTCGTTTTAGAAGGAAAGGGAAGAGACTGAGAAAATATATGTTAATATTATCAAAGATTCGACAATGTCAACCGTTACATCACCACCGCACCGCTAAAGAGAAGTTCTGTTGCGTTAGAAGAAAATTAGTTGTACATGTATAAACTATAACATGCACTATCACTTGTTAATCAATTGTTTTACTATAATTACCGTATACGTCCGATAATAAGCAACCCCCTCTCTTCAGTTCAAAAAAGTTGAATAAGCAACCCCTTTATTAAAAATTATTATTTAATACTAAAATGATTTTATTTAATTTTAATTCTTCAGTAGAATTATCATCTTCATTTATAGTATTACGTAGTATATATCATCATTAGTAACAAAGTGAAACAAAAAAAAATAACAGATCATGTGACTTCCTATCACATTCTGTCTTTCCGGAGTTCCGCCCATGTAGATCTCCTTTTTTGGAATTAGTTTAATATAATGGTAATCTTATATTTGGTGTTACATGTATTAGTTTAATAAATAATATATTAAATTGTTAAATTATTACTAATATATGACAAAAAAGATAAAGAAAAAACATAATACTTTTTACACTAACATATAAACTGTGAGATATTAGTATTTAATACAATCAAAAAGTCAATTATTGATCTCTAGAGTGCTGCATGATATATTGCTGAGTTCTTGCATTAAGAACTTCATAATATCTATCAATTTCTTATGTAAGTAACTTGATTATTTTTTTGAATTCTTGTATGAATCTATCATTTTCCACATTTTTTTCTAATAAAGATGCTTCTAACTCAAATATTTATCTAATTCTATTTATTGCATCTCTATTTTATTCAGAATCTTGACATTGATTAATAGTAATATAAGAGTTACTTGTAGATATAATGAATATACTAATAATTTACATATATTTATTTCAAGAATTATTATATATACTGATTTGTTGATAATAATTCATATCAGAGAAGATAAATAGATAATCATATTAGTACTTTATGAAGACAAAATGAGAAAAGAAATCTAATATCAAACTGATTTTCTTTATAACAAGATGCTTACATATTAGAAAGTGATTATTTAGAAATGCAAAACATAAACATATTCAAGTTTCTAGATATGTATTATATCTTTCTTCCTTATTAATTGATCTTTGACTAAGCTTTAATTATTCTTGTTTGAAAGTATTTTATCAGATGAAAAATATATATCCATTAAGATAAAGTACTATTATATCCTTCATATCTTTGACTAGTTATTATATTAGTATTTAAGTTAGTTAATTAAGATGTAAATGATTATAATTATACTTATAATTATACTTGAGTATTCTCCAATGAGACTCAGTAATCATTATTGTTTAAGTAATTGATATTGTATTTATATATGAAATATGAATAAATAACTGCTAATTCTTATGATTGTATTAATTATATCAAAGATATTCCTATATTGTAGCATAATTTTTTTACTAGTAATATTGATAAGTTTCTTAAGTATAAAGTATATATAATTTTGAAGATATAAAAAATTAATCTGTATCAAAAGATATCAAAAGATGCAAAAGAATATGCTTTTTTATTATTTATAATATTTTCTTAATTTCTTTTTCAGCATATTTGCAGATTTCTTGATTTTTAGAAAGTTATATTAGATTAATAAAGCTAAATTATTAGTAAGTTTTACTAGATTTCTTAGCTATATATTAACTTCTATAAAATTTTTGCTCATTTAATTTTTTTTCTATAGTACACTTAATATATTATAAGCAAAGCTAAATATTTGATATTCATGATCAAGCTTCTTGTATCATTATTATTTCTCCAATATCTTTATCTAGTAATATAAAACTTGACTAAATATTCTTATTTTATAATACTTTAAAGAATTCTCATAAGATACCAGTATATATATTTATTATATTTACTAGATTAGATGTTTAATCTTCTGATGTAATATAAGTATCTAGAAAAAGATATACTAGAGGTATACTATACTATTATAGTTATTATTTATAGCAAATAATTTAAATTTTTGTTGATTTATTTTAAATTTTGAGTTCATGATGAGCTCCATGATATTATCTTTTCTAATCTTATTTACAAAAGATATAATAAATCTCAAACTATAAATAAAGTTATTTTCAAGATAGAAAATAACTTTGAACTCTTCATATTAAAATATATCCTACTCAATAAAGTTCTTTACAGATTTTAGTTAATTTGCTATATTAGTTATATATTATTATTTTGAGAATTATATAATCTAATAATATATCTATTAATAGGTATATATTTTTCTATCTATTAATTTTTTTCTGCAAAGTTATTTATAGATTTCACTTTTATGCAAATTGTAAATTATATTTTTCTTGATTTACACTTTGATATTTTTTGATAGATTAGATCTGTAATATGTGAGATATATATTTTTTCAAAATATTAAATAGTCAACAAAATCTATTCTTCATCAAGATTAATCCTGGTTATAATTGAATTTTCATAATCAAATCTTTGAATTACAGATTTAGCTTCATTAATATGCTTAACTAACTAGTCTCTTGATTACTTGAATTAATATTCTCTTCATTAGCTGCAACAAAAATAATATATCATATATCTCTTTTGCTAATTATTTTTAGTATATAAATAGAAATGTCCAATTATCCAATGATATTTAGAAAGTCTTTTGAGAGAATCAAGAAGATCATTAAGAATATATTGATAAGTTCTCTTCTTGTCAAATATAGTCTGAGCACTAATAGAATGCATAATCATTTTTTTAATAAGATCAAAATCTAAAGTAACTTTCATAGAAAACTTTATAACTTTATCTTTAGCTTTATAATTATAAAATTATGTGATTATTACTTTTTTCAGATTTTCAATCTCATATAATAGTTCATTATATTTCTTTCTCAAATTATTAACCATATTCTCATGATTATTTTCTGTATTACTGTTAAAGAATACTATTTTATTAAAAGATATAACTTGATCTTTACATCTTTTTTTAGTATATATATTACATATTGTTACTATTTTAAGATTATACGTATATAATTATTTTAAAATGATAATAATAACTATATTTATGACAGTTGTCAACTTTTATAACTTCAAGAGATTATACGATGAATTATTTTTTCAATAAGATAAGATATATAAGATTTACTACTAACAAAAATATGATTATCTTCTCAATAAGATAATTTATACATATTTTATTTATAATAAAAATATAATTATCTTCTCAATAAGATAATATACATGAATTTATTTCTAACTAAAATACTCTCTCAATAAAGCAAGAAGAAAATAAGATAAGATATAAGATAAAATATGTGTGTTTATTAAAGAAAAATACTAAT